TCCTTTCTTCCACTTCAAAACATGCAGCAAATGACTATTTAAGAAGACCGCATCACAGCACCTCTCTGCTTGCAGTAGGCTGATGGCCTCCGGTTCTTCGCCCTTGGCTCGTGCTCCTGCTGTCTCTCAGTACATTGCAGCCCCACGGCTGCTTCCTCCTATGGATGTCTCAGGTCTCTAGGCTTGGGATTCTTTCCCCTCCTCAGCACTTCTTTTCTCCACTCCTCTAAAATGTAGTCTGATTTTATGTGCTGGCTTCTACAAAATCTGATTTAGGATCCCTTGATGTGCTCTTTCACAGTGTGTCTCATTCTTTTGTCTTTGGAAACTCTGGTTTAAGTGTTTCATTATAAATGCATTTGTGTGACGAGTTATAGCTTCCTGACACAGAGACGTTCAGCTCTGTATGCCTAGCAACTAGAAAAGTTTTCGGCACGTAGTAGGCAGACCAGGCAGTCAGTACTTGTTGAATGGCAGTGGCTGAGCTATGTTAGCCGAAGGGATTGTTATAATCCAAATTTCTTTTCTCCTTTTTTTAAAAGTTAAGTTTATTGGTACATTTTAGGTATACACTACAGTTACATTCATCATTGGGATACTGTACCTTTACATGATGTATCTTAGTTCTTATTTTCTTTTTTCCTTTTGACTCTTTTGCACCCAAAGTGGTCTTTTGATTCTGATTTGTCTTCCCTTACAGCTTGACAACTGGGAGAGAATGCTCTGACTGCGATCTGCTTGGGCGAGAGGTGTTTCTCAGCTTAGATCTGTGTGCGTTTTCATCCATGTGTGTCTTCCTCTGATGTTCTAAGAACAGCAAACTGGGTCCCCAGACTTGAGGTCTGGTCCTGAACTGCATTCAGTTACTAATAAATATCATCCAAGAAGCTTTATTATAAACAACCATTTCCTTTCCCCTCCATGGTTCTTTGGCCTCATTACCAATTTCAGGTTATCTTTCATTTTGGAATGTCTATGCTGAATAACTTAGGAAGTATTGCCAAATTTTGGCCTGTTATTAAAGATATATAGTTGTTAAACATCTGTATGTACCATTTAGGAGATTAGCCGGGCTGGGCTAAACTCAGGCTAGGATTTGTAAGTCTTTCAATCAGGTCCTTTCCTGCAGCCAGAGCTCATTGTCTAGGCACATTCTATTGCTGCACTAATGGACCAAAGTATGAGAGAACGGAGGGCGGAGCCCTACACAAAAACATTAGCAATAATTTTATTGTCTTTCCACATGCCAGGAACTGTGCTGCTAAATATGTATTGTTTCATTCATTTTCATCCTAATTCTACAAAGCATATGCATGGGTTAGCAAGGAAAATACAGTGTAGAAAAATTCCGTAGGCAATGACTGGGCTGGATGTGATCCTGAGTCTGCCTGGTTCTGGTGCCTGAACTCTTCAGCATTGCATGAAGTTGTCTCCTCCAGGCCTGACCACGTGCCGTTTGGTGTGGATTTAAAAAACACAGAACCTCTCCTTGGAGTCTGGTTTATGTCATGAGACTCATGCCAGTAGGTCATTAAAATATGTGTTTGGACATCATTCATGAATTTATTCAATAAAAAAGTTTTGAGCATCTTGTATATTTCAGCTGTTTTGTAGATTCTAAGGATATGAAAGGATTCACAGTCCCTTTCCCTTGGAAGCTTGCAGTTTTACAGGGAATGGGAAAGCGTTGGGTATGGAGAATACAGTATGATCAGTACTACCACGGGAAGCTCGATTCTGAGGACTCAAAGAAGGGCTTCACAGGCATTCGATGTGAGCTGACTCTTTAATGTCAGGCATTTGTCAAACAGATTTTCAAGGAGAGATAAAGAATGACATAGTTTTCTGGGCAGAGGGAGCCATGAGTAAGGTCTAGGTGGTTCCTAGAACCCAGAACGATGATCATATCTGTTATAGAGGTAGAGAAAGGGCAGTGTTTTAAGAACTCAAGCTGAAGAGATCGTTGCAAAGATGACATCAAATCTTTATTCTTATACTCAGAGATCTTTGGGAAAGGAACAGAAACCAAGCCACACGAGTTTCAGTAATAAAGTATGATCTTTTAGGCTCAGGAATCTACCCCAAGAACCTGTAGTCTCTGTGTCTCTTAATTCAGGATCCCAAGAGAGAGAATCTGATCAGTCACTGGCCGGCCTCATGAGTCCCTTTTCCATCTCATCTGATGACCCAGAAATGTGCGTGTGGCTAGAGGGAGATTGAACCAAAGCTATCCAAGGCTGGGGTCCCATGGTGGGGGAAACCCTCTCAGGAACAAGGAAGGATATTAGGAAAGAGGCTTAAGTCCATACAGCACAATGCTGTGGGTCATGGAGGAAAGTCTGGGGTTCTTGGTGTCTCAGTTACTTTTCCCATCACTGAGAAAAAACACCCGATACTCAAAGGAAAAGGAAAAAGGCTTATTTAGCTCACAGTGTAGAGGTTTCAGTTCACACTTGGCTGGCTACAAGGTAGGGTGGCCTGGCAGAGGGGCATCATGGAGGAGAAAGAGTTCATGGTTGGTAGAAGGTAGCAAAGCAAGCAAGTGACAAGCAGCTTCTTTCCATCCCTTTTATAGTCTATCTAGGATACCAATCTTCCACCCTTAGGGTGGTTAGCACTCCCACCCAGAGCTGTGCCAGACCAATCAGTGGACTAATTTAGTAATCACACACCTTGATCCCAGCATTACTCTAGATCTAGCTAACTGTGAAAAAGCCCCACCTATGACCACATGAGGCTTTGTGGGACATCTAAACACAAGCCATAATACTTAGTGAACATTTATAGAAAGCAAGGAAAAAAAAAAACCCATTTGTTAAGTCCACAAAGTTCTCATTTCAACATTTAAGGCAACTCCTACTCATGACTCCAAAACATAATATCCAGGAGATCTTAGGATTAGAATATTAGAATATTTTCTGTTGATTCTGAAATGTTTAAAAAGTGTAATTATTGTAATCACTTCACAAATTAAATTCTAACTTAAACATCTTATCCTTAACCCTGGCAGAGAAGGGACTGATTGTATAGAACAGAACACACTTCACCCTTGTTAACATCAGACAGTGATGTGAAGGAGAAATTGACAGTGCACCATTGACTCAGGAACTCGATCAGTTCCTAAGGGTGGGTTGAAACTCAGATTGATGGTAAGTCAGTACAGCTAAGATCTGGATGTTTACCTGGTAGGCCTGATATATATCAAGGAGCAGGTGAATCTTCCCTAACCTAATTAACCCAAGTTGTTCATAGGTTAGGCACACACTGACCTTGATTTTGTCAGGCAATAGGAGTTGGAGTTAGTCTGTTAAGGCAGGTACAGCTGCTTTCTGAGAGAATGCAAGTGGAGATGACAGACAGCTTTCTAGGCCTGGCTGGTCCATGGCACTACGCAGCTCCAGGTGGGGTGGCACCTACGTACTCCATAAGTCTGCTGTCTGAGAAACTGTGAGGAAAACTGCCCTGTTGACTTGTTCACAGCATAGCACCGTACTTGTTGTGTGAGCAAGAATGAGGTTTTTCTATTATGTTCATGCAGTAAAACCTTCTGGGTTTACTGTTCCAGCTGTTAGCCTCCCCTAAATGGCATTCTATATAATTAAGAATTAGCTGGGCATGGCATCACACCTCTAAAATCATATGTTGTGTTTGTATATCTTGGAAATTGAAAAATAAAGTCCACAGAATAACTATTTTTTAACACCGTTGATCACACACACCTGTAATCCCAGCACTCGGGAGGCTGAGGCAGGAGGATTGCTGTGAGTTCGAGACCAGCCTGGGCTACATAGTGAGTTCCAGGTCAGTCTCAACTACTTAGTGAGACCCTGTCTCAAAAAACCAAAAGAAAAAAAAAAGAATTTATCATATACCATTCTTCATGTTTATCGCATACTATTATTTTACATCTTGCTAGGTTAACAGGAATAAAGAAGATGCATTCTACATCTTATGAAGAGGTATAAAAAATTTTAAGTGAATTTTCAAATAATGACTATTTAAATATTTTTCTTTAACTCACCCAAGCTTTTCAGTAGTGTTCTCAAATTGTTTGCAAAAAAGTTTGAAAAAGCTTATAATTTTTTCTGTATTGTCTGGAGAATAAAAATTGGTTTAAATAATACAAATTGTTATATTTCTCTGATAATTTGTAGTTTCTTATGTTTCATTGAATTCTTTTAAATTAAAATTTCATTAAAGAATCTTTTCTTCTTTTTTAGGTATTTGTAGATTTATTTCTTATTTTGAGTTGATGACACCTGTACTCACATAAACTTACTGCTAAATAAATGATGTAATCTTTTAAAAAGAAGCCAGCATTCACAAAACAGATAATTGAAAGGATAAAAAAGGAGACTCCATTTTGGTGGAATATGTATGCATAATAAATTATAAAATAAAGCAGAGTATCAAAGTTTTTAAAAAATCACTGTATTTAATCATCCTAAATGATCTTGTATAAGGTTCCTCCTTGATTTTGTAAGTTGTCTTAGTTTTTCTTCCCTCAATCAGAAGCCCTCCATTATATGGAAGGCTATGGACCTGGAAGTATTCACAGCAAGGGATGAGTGAAGTGACGCAAGGCGGAGACCGTGTCTTTTACATTTGTGCCGCTGGAAACAATCATTAGGAAGCACTGCGGAGTGGCAAGAGAGCATTGCTCCCACTTGCAACCCAAAATGGCTAGCATTTTTCGCAGCTATGTTCTTTGTGAAGAAAAAAATTCAAGTTCTGAGCACTGACTTTATTTCTCAGGACCCAGAAATTAAAGTTTATGTGAAACAAGTACATAATACAGATGAATTACAGTACAGGGCTGGAACACATAGCCTCAGACTCTGATGGCTTTATATGTGTAGTAAAAACAAAATATTCTTACACAAGTGAGTAATTCAACTATCCTTCTCATATTGCCCAAGCATTTGGTGTAAGATGACTTTTATTCTCTTCATAGAATTGCCTTTGATATTTTTAAAATATATTTTACATGTCTTTCCTACCTTACATGACTGCCCTTTAAAGACCCTCTATTTCTTATTGGCAATGTAGATCATTCTGTGCTTCTCAATGATGCCGATGTCATGTTCCAGCTGTTTCATTGCTTCCTCCAGCTTCTGCTTGCGCACCTTCTTCGGGAGAGAGTCTGTGAAGACCGAGAGGGACTGGAACTCTTTGTGTACCTCTTCCCAGTTCTTCTTCAGCCCCTGTAGACGGATGATAAATTGAAAATGCTCAAGGAAATCGTAAAAGTGAAGTAAATTGTAAAGAAGCTGTACTGATAACACAAAATGTCGTTAGGCAACGAACATTGATAAAAAATCACTTTAAAAGTGATGTATGGGGCTGGGGATTTAGTTCAGGGGTTCCGCTGCCTGCCTTGCAAGCACAAGGACCAGTGTTCAGTCCCTAGTACCCCCCCAAAAAAGTGATGTGTGTTTATCAAAGCAGTTGACCACAGTAGCTAAACTATTGTACAGAGGCCAAGTCCAGGCTTTGATTGTCTGCTTGGTCCCCAGTGGGAGTATTTATTTGCTGTTTTAATGTCACTGCGCTTGTTTTTACCATCAAATGCACATGTGTAGAGTTATAAGTATTGTAAAACTAAGTTCACAGGAAATACTTTGGCAAAAATGAACAACTGAGAACTGAGAGCTCTGGGTACAAAATATTTTTGAACAGGAAATTATTTCTAATGAAGTTATTTTTTCTATAATTTTCCTTCTTATCCTCATTCTTCAATAGAGAAGCACATCAAAAATTTACACGACCATATTTTCTTACACTTGACAAAAATGTAATTGTAAAAATGCCAGAATTGAATTTTACTAAAGTTGATCTTTTATACATCTTCTCAGTATATTAGAAAGTACAAATCGTCCTCCATATAGTCTGGGGATTTATACGTCCCTTAATGTATTCTGGAAATGAATGGAATGTCATTAAATGTAGCACACGTGCTAATTTGATAATATCGTTAATGTCTCAGAAATCAACAAATTCAAAATTAGGGCTCTCTTAGGAGCAATAAAGGTTGTTTGCATCTCTGCCTCATTAACCATTTCTTATCACAGTGCACTAGGGGCTCCACTGACAAAATGATCCCAAATTGCAATTGGATTCGTTCTGTGACGCTTCAAAGACTAACAACTTTTAGTATTCAGTATGGATTCACAGATCATATCATTTACACACGAGCAAAAAATAAAAACAGACAATATAGTTTGAAATAGTATCTGGAAAACTTGGTCTTTGAAAAGTTTTGCTCTATCATTAGGCTTAAAGAGGAACGGAAGTGTCTCGTGTAAATGGTGCCTTCATGAGTCCTCGTCAGACGAATCCAACCCTGTGGAAACTCTTTGGGGACAGCAATATTTCAGTGATTTAACTTCTTGTTTAGCTAAAAGCAGTGGTAGGGTAGGGCACACCAAATAGAATGGGCTGGTTGGTGGAAAGGGCAACAGAGTTTGACCCCTCGGTGAGTGACATGGCCTCCAGGATCTGGGAGACGGACACAATAGAAAGCATGCTAGGGTTGTTTTAGAGAGAGAGAGAGAGAGAGATGGGTCAACACCATTTTTAATAGCACATGAGATGCAGTTCAAAAACAATTCCTCAAAAAAACCCCAAAACTCTGTTTCTCCATGGTCTTTCGTTTTGAAATGTGAAATGTTTCCACAGCTCTCCACAGGAGTGCTACTGGACAGGAGATCGATGTATTTGTACACTTTCAGGTATCAAAGTTCTCTCAAAATATGCTAGCTGGGCATATTTCCACGTTACTTGCAGTCACAGTGGCTGTGCTTTCCCCTGAATTTCCTTTTAAAGGATGGTTTGCTTTTTATCTTCCCATGTGTACAGTAATGTCTGGATCAGTCAACAGCTAGGATGTAAATTAATGTCTCATATTATGTTGGGGCAGCCTCCTTGCTGTTTTTTAAACTTTTTATCTAGGAAACATCTTTTACCCACAGCAGTTACAGCAATTCCTTTTTCTCTTCCTTCCCCTTTTTCTTTTCCCTTCCTATTTTCCCTCTTTCTTTCTTTCCCTCTGTCTTTTCTCTTCCTTTTCATCTTTTCTTCTTTTTCTTTTTTCTTTTTGCAGGGCTGAAGATTGAGCGCAGGGCCAAACACATGCCAGACAAGTACTCTACCACTAAGCTACTCCTCAGTCCTTTCCATTATTTTATTATTTCAGTTTTCTCTTTTCTATCTTAATGCTGAAATAACATGGCTAACTTGGGGGGAAATTCAGATAGGGAGAAGTGGTCACACGTGCAAAGCGAGCTCAGTTTCATGCTCCTTTTCTATCCTCTGCCTCCCTCCAAACGTTCTCTGTCTCCTTGCCCTGCTCAGTGACCAGGGGTTGAGGACAGGATCTGATCGTGCAGGCTGTTGTGCCCTGGTTCTTGTGCCCATAGGTTCTGCCTGAGAACAGCCAAAGGTGGAAGCCACGTCTGGAATCCCAGCACTGGGGAGGCTGAGGTAGGAGGACTGCTTCGAGTTTCAGGCTGTAGAGTGAGTTCAAGGCCAGTCCGAACTATGCAGTGTGGCCCTGTGTCAAAACACCAAAAACAAACAAAACAAAACAAAGCAAAACAAAGGTGCAAGTGCGGGAGTGGCTAGAGGTTGGCGCGTTTTGTCCTTTCTCTCACCTCTGCTGGAGCTGGCTAAAGGTGCACTCAAGTCGGGGGCCCCTTTTCCAGGCTCCCGCTCTCAGGAGGCTGAGCGGACATCGCTTTTGGTGCCCGCCTTCCAGCTGAGGTCACAGTGGAGCTCCCTCGTCCGTAGTCCCGGAGGTGCCTCTGTGCTCCTTTGCCCCACTTCCCTTGTGTAAAGCGTTCCTGGGCCCCAGCTGACTGTGCCTTTTATTTCCCACTGGAGCCCCGACTGACACAGCCTCACTCCTTACTTCCTGTGCACGCATGGATGATGTGGTGGGGGAAACACCAGCCTAGTGATCGGAAACGAGAGTTTTAGTCCCTACTCAGTGACTTGATAATTTTGTGACCAATGGCAAATGTAAAGCGAACTTGCAGTTTACTGAAGTAAGGGCTGCGTTCCCTTTGGACCTTCAGTCCCCTCAGCTGGGTACAGAGCTGGAGACAGCAGACGCTGGACAAGTGAACGAAGGGGTGCACGGGCAGGGCGCCCCTAGCACACCGGCATTGCACACCCTCGCAGGCACAATGGGAAGTTAGGGATCTTTAGGCCAGGGCGTGCCTTCCAGGTATACTGAGGCTGTTGTTGTTATGAAGAAAGAGCAGGGTGTGGCGTGTAGGGATCTGCACCATGAACCGTGGAACTGTCTGCACCTCTCAACCAGAAATAGAAGCAGGGCTCGGGGCTTGGCCTTTTCCTTTTATGTTGTGTATATTTTCCTAGGACAGCTATACTCCAAGCTGGCAGAGCAGCTGATGCAGGATTGCGACTGCATCCAAGACCAGAGAGGAGGCTGAGGATGATTCATCCTTCTCGGGCAAAAAGGCACAAGGTGGGAGAAGCCTCTTCCTTCCAAGGGGAGTTGCTATTTTCCCCATCATTGAGGTCTGAAATCCAGCTTTCACAAAGACGTGCTTTCTGAAAACGGAAGCATCCAAACTGGAGAGAGATTGTGCACCAAAGACCAGCCCTGTCCCCAAAAGTGACGTGCGGCCTCCCTCTTCCACGTCCTTGTCCTTCTCTTGCCTGTTTTCCTTCCTCTGTTCCCGGGCTCCATTAGCACACGCTGCTAACAAACAGTCCGCCTCTGCTTTTAAGCCTCTCCTACTTAGACACCTGTCCCCTCACACTTTTACACTGGGCCGAAGATCTGTATCTTTCAGTGGTGACTCCTGCTTTGGAAACTTAAAAAAAACAAACACCTTGCGATCTGTACACACACGCATTCCTAGGTGCCTTCCCTCTCAGCAAATAGCCCACAACATTCTCCATGGCAGAACTTTCATGCCTTTTTAAGTACCCTCAGTGCTTAGCAAAATACTGCATAGAAAACGGCATTTAATAAATCTTTGCTGGCGATTATGATAACATCAATAATAGGTTAAAAATGTAAAAGTATGTGAATCTAATTGCTGACAGAACTTGAGGAACTTTTTCTACTTTTCAAAAGTCACTACGGATACTTTTATGGAAAGCTTTCACAGTAAAAATAAAGAGCTCCCCATGAGCTTCCGTGACTATGGAAGGGTAGAAGCAGCCATTACCACAACTGACGATAAAGCAACAGCCTTGCTCACCTCTTCCAATATTTTATTCATGTATTTATTTATTTTTGGTCTTTTGACACAGGGTCTCACTATGTAGTTTAGACTGCTCTGGAACTCACTATGTAGCCCAGGCTGGTCTCGAACTCACAGTGATCCTCCTGCCTCAGCCTCCCGAGTGCTGGGATTACACGCATGGGCCACCACGCCCGGCCTCTTCCAATATTTTATTCATGTATTTATTTATTTTTGGTCTTTTGACACAGGGTCTCACTATGTAGTTTAGACTGCTCTGGAACTCACTATGTAGCCCAGGCTGGTCTCGAACTCACAGTGATCCTCCTGCCTCAGCCTCCCGAGTGCTGGGATTACACGCATGGGCCACCACGCCCGGCCTCTTCCAATATTTTAAATGTCTCAGACTAAAGTCTTAAATCAACTATCTAGTGTATGTGTGTCTTCTGAGTCTCTTTTACTCAAAATAAAGAAGATATAGCATATGTAAAACCTACTACTTCTTCATTTAGAAATTTGGATAGTTCTTTATAGGAAAGAAGAAAAAAGTTGGTTTAGGGACAGTTTCAATTATTCTAGAGCTCCATCTAGTGAAAAGCATCTCATTTGTGGATATTAGTTTTTAGAAACTCGGGCATGAGAACAAAAATTAAAATGTTTTTAGACTTATTTATATACATTTGTTGTAGGAGAAGTAGGCTTCCTTAAAACACAAACTCACCAAAATGGAAGCAAAATATTAGGCAATGAATCTTTTTTTAAATTCATTAAGCTTATTGGTACATTTTAGGTGTACATTATGATCACATTCATCATTGGGAATCTGTACCTGTACGTGATATATTTTGGTTCTTATTTTTTCCCATTTTCCTGCCCTCCCTCAATCCCTTCACCCCTCCCTATTTATAAGGACTTTGTTTCTGTTTTTCCTTGTCTCGTATTTTTTCCTTTCCCTGCTATTTCTCCTTCCCTTTTGGACCTTTTCTTCCTATTTCACATTATCTTTTATACATTTTGGTCCTCATTTATACTTTCTGTTTCTCAAACCAGAGAAACTATTCAGTATTTCCACATGTGTCCTATTGATTTCATGTAAGAGTATGGCCTCACTGTGCATCCACTTAGCTATAAATGTCTCCAGTTTATCATTCTTTACAGCTGAATAGTACTCCATTTAGTAAAAAATCCAGTCTGCTTTGCTGCAGGTGGTTTGTTTTTATAAAAGAGATTATTGTGATTTCAAAGACAAAGGGTTAGCTTCAGTTATCAGACTGACTGATGGTGGACAGGGAAGGCTTTTCTTTTGGAGATGTTCAGAGTTTCATAGTACAGGCTGTAGGACACTCACCTGGAGAACTGCATCTCTTTCTTCATCCGTTAACATTTTCATAGCTGCTTTCTGAAGGTTTTCCTGGATGTAATGATCATACTCTTCCTGGGCTTTCTTCAGGTCCTCGTTCCGCTTACTTATGTATTCAGGTGTGACACCATAATCCTGTAAGGAAAAAAGTAATATCCCGAACATGATATCACATGCATGTAGCAGGCAATGACTGCAAAAAATTCATTTAAAATTTGGCTTAAAATGCTACAAGCTCATATAGTTTAGTGATGTCTCTCCCCTTTGAGAACTTAGTAGCTCCAGTGTTTAAAGTGTTTAATAAGTTGTTATTGTGGTTGTTCTGTCTCTTGTCTTTCTCTCTCTTTTAAATGTTTCCAGGCCAGCTGCTGTGGTGGCCTGGCCCTTACTTTACCCGTAAGAGTTGGCTTTTCTTTTTGTATTTTGCATGTTTCAGTTTTTGCTTGAAATCTCTTCTCTATCTTTGAGGTCTCTTTTTCATGGCTTTGTTAAATAAAAGAGTACAAATGCTCCAGGGGCATTAGAAAAAGAAACATTTAAATGATACCAAACAACTAAACTTAGAAAACTGCCTTGGGACGCTGAGGTTGTTTTTACAAGTGTGAGATCCATTTTTAGGCTCCCCCGTGCCCGCTGCTTACAAGGACAGACAGGGAAGCCCCCCCACTGAATTTCTTTCAGATTAGTGGATACATTGATGTCACTTTCTGGAGAAACAGGACGATTCCCCATTCATTCTTCCAGTCAGCATTTGAGAGTGAAAGTCCTTGTGAGTAGGAAGGTCCTGTCTTTCTGAGTCTCCCTCTCTGTGAGAAGGACTCACCCCATACAAAGTGCAGTCACTCTGCATATTTACATCCTCTGATTCAACCAACAGTGAAAGGAAAAAAATCTGTAAAAACTGCAGCTGTACTGAACTCGTACAGACTTTGTTCCTGCCGTTCCCTAAACAACCCAGTATGGCATCTATTTACATAGAATTCACATTCTGAGGCGTTTGCAAGTAATCGAGAGATGAGTTCAAGTGCACCGGGAGAATGTGCCTGAGTTACGCACAAACACTACCATTTACCTAGAGGTCATCTGGCCACTGTGTTATGCACAGGGCTCCGAGAACCAGTGGGCACTGTGGGATAACTACGAAACACAGGGAAGTCCCTTGCGGTAAAGTGAAAGACAGGAAGGGTAAAGAAAACAACAGCAGTCCTTTTAGGTTCGGCCAGGGCAGAGCGCCTGAGAAAGTGCCAGCGAGAGAGAGGCAGGCAGTCAGTGAAGCCACGCGCAGACTTTCTGCTCCTGCCGTCTCGTCTCTGGGATCGGGTATGTGGACAGTAAAGACTTTCAGCAGGCATCAGGCTGGGCACGTAGCTCTCGGGAGCACCCTCCCGCCTCCCTTTCCACCCCTCCTCTCTCCTCCCTTCCCTGGCCCCCTCCTTATTTCCTTCCCTTCTTGTCTTCTCTCCTCTTCCGCCTTCCTTTGCTCCTTCTCTTCATCCTCTCCTTGTCCACAATTTATTATTTATTATTGCTCTTTAGGATTTTCACTCATGCTTTCTATGTATTCCAAGCACTTGGATGCCCCATAAATACACAAAATAGAATTTATCCTTTTCTTTGTGAACTTATTTCAAAGATCTTTTATATCTACACTGTTAAACTCAAACTTCTGTAAAGTTCACCAATGAAACTGTATGACTGCTTGATAAACATCTTTTCAGATTGAAATAAAAGGCCCGAGAGAACTTTGTTATTATTGTACAGTAGTTTTGAGGCTTTATGCCATATTTCAATTTAATGAGTACATTTTATGATTTTTTTCAAAGGCTATTGCTTCTAGATTTACAACAGTGACAGTGTTTGTAGTGACCGTTTCACCAACAATGAACTTCTTTCAGAGAATGTTATAATTATTAAATACTTGATAACTGACACAAAAATAGCGATTGTTTTCTTCTACTGAACTATGAGGTATGCTCATTACAAGTTCTCTGCAAATGTATTGCATTGCATACTGCAGAAGGTTGGCGATCTAAGAGAGTTGGCAGTCTAAGTAATCTGTCCATCCAGAGCACGTTTAATGGTATCAAAGGCCATCGTTATGGACGCCACATTTAAATTATTTGAATTCCAGGTCTCTTAGGAATACACGGCTACCTTTTTATGGATGTACTTGGGAAGTAGCCCCGATGTTTCCAGATCGTGCTTGTCTCCGGTTCTTTTGTCAACATAGACTGGCTTAGGCTTTTTAGCCACTCCCATGATGACATCGGCCGCGTTTGTATTTATAAAATTTTTTCCACTCTGTATTCCCATGACTGGATGATCAGTCCTCAGTGGCACAGGCGGCTTTCTGGGTTCATTCCAGTCGAACTTTTTTTCTGTTCAGTAGAACATTTTCTTGTTAATATCCAAAGTATAAACATCGCTACTTAGTATGGTTTATAACATTCAGGCATTTTCCTATGAGCACTGGGGTTCCGAAAACAATATATTCATACACTTAAGGCAAAAGGCTCATACTTATTCCCAAACCACTGAGCATTACACAGCGAAGCCCTTACTTACAGAGGAGCTCCATTCCGGGAGAATGTCGGATTCCTTGCTAAGCCCCACACAGTGAGTCTTACACACCTTTGCCACAAATACTCCAGGATTTCTCCCGCCTCCTGGCAGGCCCCTCCCGGTCACCACTGCCCACTGCTCTCCCTCTCGCTTCTGCACTTTCTGGGCTCGGCAGAGCACCGCAGCTCTGTACACTATCAGGCTGCAACAAGCACACAGCAGCTTGGCTGGGACACGTGAGCTATTTCCAGGATTTGCTCGCGCCTATGAATGTTTGCAACGCGAGGTCTGTTCGTATGGGAAAGTTCGCGGCTCTATTCAACATGAGGTCATTGACAATAGACAATTTTTGTTAAATTTGCTAATATTAATATTAAAAAGGAACAGTGATAAGACCTACTGGGTGGGAGGACTTTTTCCTTCGAACGTTTTTTTAGGAAACCCTTCGGAGAAGGAACTTCCACTTTTGCTGGTCCCATGGTTTTCATGGACGCTTTAGAGGTTTTCATGTCACTTTTTATAGCTGCTTTAAAAACTGATGTGTACCTGAAATTAAATTTTAAGAGTTGTAGTACTTACATTTATAGTGAAAAAGATTTGACACCTAAAAATAGGCATACATCTTAATTTATTCATATCACTATGTACCCATTTTAATTTATCACATGAAGACTTATGATATAAGCCCTGTATATCAGGCTTACAAACTCTAGATGGGAGCTCTGGCCCAAGACAAATGCCCCATGTAAAGGCGGTCATAGTATTTCCTGAGCAGAGTGTGGGCTGAGATGCCTTCCCGATGTAGCGCATTTGTGTCTCCTCCCCCAGCCCCTCCTCTCCTGCTCAGTCCTGCTACATAGGCTTTAATGTGATTGATCTCAAAGAACCAGACTTCCATGGATTTATTTTGTCTAATGGTCACATGAATCCCATTCCAGTGGTTTCTGCCTGGATCTCTGTTATTTCTTCTTACTTTTGGTTTAATTTGCTTTTCTTTTTAAAAAAGCTTCTTAAGGTACAAGCTTAAGTACAGTGATTTTAAACCTTTATGCTTTTCTAATATATGTTTAAAGCTATATTGCAAGTGCAAGGACCCAAGTTTGATCCCTGGTACCAAAACAAACCAACAAACTGTAGCATCCTAAGTCCCAGATTAGCTACATTTCATAAATTTTAATATGCATTGTTCCATTTCTACTCACCCCAAAATACCTCTTAAACTACAATCCTATATCTGATTTAGAAATTTGACTGTTTTCATATATTTGGAGTTTGCAAATATCTAATTGACTTCTCATTTATTTCCATTGTACCAAAAGAACATATTTTGTATGATTTCAAACCTCTTAAATCTTCTGGCATTTTTTTTTTAATGACACAGTTTGGTTTAGTGTGGCCAATGTTCTGTATATACTGAAAATGAAGTATATTCTGCTGCTCTTGGATGTGGTGTTTTATGAATGACTACTAGATGGAACTGGTTGAAAGTGTTTTTAAGTGTTCTATACCTAATTATTTCTACTTTTTCTGTTCATTTTTGAGAGAGAGATGTTGGTATCTTTGACAGTTGTGGATTTGGCTTTTCCTTTTATTGCAATCAGCTTTTGGTTTACATATTTGGAGCCACTGTTATTGTGGTTTTATCTTTGAAAACTGACGTCATTATAAAATAACATATTTTATTCCTTTAAAAATTTCTGTGCTCTTGGGCCAGGGATTTGGATCAGTGGTTCTGCCACCTGCCTCACAAGCACAAGGGCCCAAGTTTGGTCCCTGGTACCAAAAAAAAA